AAGGGGTTAATAGTCGATGTTCCAAGGCCAGTTTCAATGATGGCAACACCACGCGACGGTTTTTCAGAATGCCCAAGATTCTGTGAAAATTACCTGGGGTTGATTTGCAGCTAATAAAAAGGTTCCACACCACAATGGTTGTCGCTGCATCAGGTCATGAGGTAGACATAGAACTATTCGAAGAATGCTCTTATGAAACTGCTGTATCCATGTCATTATATGATACAACGATACCCAAGTTTTTAATTCACTGTGCTGAAATTATTTCGAATGCGTTATTACCAATAGGGTATCTGTCATATGAAGCTCGGAACAAGGACTACACAAAATACAGATTATGTTATTCGAGAAAAATGGATAGAGTGAAGAGCAATCAGGACAATTTGAATATGTCCTTGATTAGCTCCGATCCAATAATATCTACTAAACAGAAGTTGCCAAAAAAAAATGCACACCTTTCCGAAGGAAGCTGAGCGACAAGAGCGATAGCGAAGGAGAAACTGAGGTGGAATCGGTTTAATGCTTATATTATTTAAGTCATTGATTTTCTTTTAAAATTATGGTTTTCACTAATAAATTCGAAGTTATACATATAAACATTTTTATTTAATAAATACAAGCACCACAAGGTTTTATTTCCCATTTTTACTATATTGTTTTTACTACTATATATATATATATATATATATTTACTATAAAGTTCACCAATTCTTAATATTCCTAGTAGAAGTAGTCTAAGTAAATACATATGGGATTCGTGTAAAATTTTAGCGCTGTAAATGAAGATATACCAATTTTGTTTGTAAAAGTAATAATAATAAAAAAAAATTCTACGGAAAGTCCAAATGTTATTTTTGTAAACTGTGGCTCCTACAGTTTTGATACTTTTTTTTTGCTGAAATGTGTTAGTCTCGTCAATACCTATCGATTGATCTAAAAAGCTCCCATAAAGCTTAAATCTGTCTTCCGCCCACATACCCATATACTGAGATCACGGGTACGTGGCGCATTTCAATCTCGCTTTGCTGCTTGCTTATCTCCATTTCCCTTTGGCTAAGTAACGGGTATCTGATAGTCAAGGTACTCGACTATAGCGTTCTTTCTTGTTTTTTTTACTTTTATTGATCAGATAAAATTATAACATGTTCAAATTTTTGGTCGGTTGAATTAATCATCACAAACACCAACTCCCAAACTTCCGATCAAACTCCTTCTTTGCCAAAAGGTCCAGGGAGCACAAGACAAGTTGAAAATATAAAGAGCTACATAGGAAAGAAAACTTTTTTACCGTCTAATGATGTGCGTTATGATGGCGTTAAGCATTTTCCGATCTTTATATCACGCGCTGGAAAAAAAACCTGTAAGCTACCTAGTTGCACTTCCGTAACACAAATTGTATGCCGTAAATGCAACACAAACCTGAGCCTTTCCCAGCAAAAAGACTTTCTACGATTTTCGTCACAAATAAGAAGACGAACTTTTTGTACGACAATGTTATGGAGTTTTGTAAATTTAAGTTACGTTAATTTTAATTGTTATTTCTTTTGTCTAACGAGCTTTTCTTTATTTACTTTCCTGAACATTTTTTGCTTTCCCAAAGACACTCTAGGCAGTCCAAGGTTTAAGTCCTCAAAAACTCGATCCGTGAAAAATTAAAAATTTACCAGAACAAACCTTTACTTTTAAGATGTCGAACCCAAAAATAATCTTTTTTTTTTTAAAAAAAAAATCTTTGGGCACTGAGGGTTAATACACCAATAAAATCCGCAAAACCCTGAAGGCAAAAAGAGATTCATAAAAACCCGCAAACGGAACATCCGATTTTAACTTGTGAGGTGTCATTCGACGGAATTCTCTGTAAGACCAAAAGTAGACTAATATAATAATAATAAATTGCTCTTCCAACTAGTGTGGAAGTATGTTGATGACTTTAAGGAGCATATGTTTTTAATTAAAGTCGTATCTTTTCAGATGTAACCAAGACCTTCTGTCCGTCCGTCCGTTTGTCCGTTTCTACGCAATCTAGTCTCTCAGTTATAGAGCTAAAGGGATGAAACCTTCTCATAAGTTTTATTTCTATACAAGGAAGTTTATAAGTCGGCTCCTATAGGAATGATCAATAAAATATTTTAAAAACTATTCAAAAACAAGAAAGGAAGTTAACCTCGGTAAGACGGAGTTTGTATACCCTTGCAGTTATAATTATTAAATTTAAAAATACAAAAAATGATATTCCCAATAGCATAAGATAGTATGTCAAAAGACACCGAAACTATAATTTGATTCATATTATTTTCCCACCAATTTTTTAATCGTTCCTATGGCAGCTATATGATACAGTCGTCCGATTTTGATAAAATTAAATTCAGAATTCAGAACTAATCAAAAAATGTTATTTCCAAGCGTAGGAGGTTATATGTTAAAAAACACCGAAACTATAATTTGTTTCATATTATTTTCCAACCAATTTCCCGATCGTCCCTATGGCAGCTATATTATATAGTCGTCCGATTTTGATGAAATTAAATTCCAAATTCAGAACTAATTAAAAAATGCTATTTCCAAGCGTAGGAGGTTAAATGTTAAGAAACACCGAAGCTATAATTTGTTTCATATTATTTTCCTACCAATTTTCCGATCGTTCCTATGGCAGCTATATGATATAGTCGTCCGATTTTGATGAAATTAAATTCAAAACTCAGAACTAATTTAAAAATGTTATTTCCAAGCGTAGGAGGTTATATGTTAAAAAACACCGAAGCTATAATTTGTTTCATATTATTTTCCCACCAATTTTCCGATCGTTCCTATGGCAGCTACATGATATAGTCGTCCGATTTTGATCAAATAAATTCGAAATTCAGAACTAATTAAAAAATTGTATTTCCAAGCTTAGAAGGTTATATGTTAAAAAACACCGAAGCTAAAATTTGTTTCATATTATTTTCCTACCAATTTCCCGATCTTTCCTATGGCAGCTATATGATATAGTCGTCCGATTTTGATAAAATTAAATTCGAAATTAAGAACTAATTAAAAAATTGTTACTTCCAAGCGTATAAGGTATATGTTAAAAAACACCGAAGCTAAAATTTGTTTCATATTATTTTCCTACCAATTTCCCGATCTTTCCTATGGCAGCTATATGATATAGTCGTCCGTTTTTGATAAAATTCAATTCGAAATTCAAAACTAATTAAAAAATGTTATTTCCAAGCTTAGGAGGTTATATGTTAAAAACACCGAAGGTATAATTTGTTTCATATTATTTTCCAACCAATTTCCCGATCGTCCCTATGGCAGCAGTATTATATAGTCGTCCGATTTTGATGAAATTAAATTCAAAACTCAGAACTAATTTAAAAATGTTATTTCCAAGCGTAGGAGGTTATATGTTAAAAAACACCTAAGCTATAATTTGTTTCATATTATTTTCCCAACAATTTTCCGATCATTCCTATGGCAGCTATATGATATAGTCGTCCGATCTTGATAAAATTAAATTCGAAATTCAGAACTAATTAAAAAATGTTGTTTCCAAGCGAAGGAGGGTTGTTAAAAAACACCAAGGCTATAATTTGTTTCATATTATTTATTTCCCACCAATTCTCCGATCGTTCCTATGGCAGCTACATGATATAGTCGTCCGATTTTGATAAAATTAAATTCCAAATTCAGAACTAATTAAAAAATGCTATTTCCAAGCGTAGGAGGTTAAATGTTAAGAAACACCGAAGCTATAATTTGTTTCATATTATTTTCCTACCAATTTTCCGATCGTTCCTATGGCAGCTATATGATATAGTCGTCCGATTTTGATAAAATTAAATTCAAAACTCAGAACTAATTTAAAAATGTTATTTCCAAGCGTAGGAGGTTATATGTTAAAAAACACCGAAGCTATAATTTGGTTTATATTATTTTCCCACCAATTTTCCGATCGTTCCTATGGCAGCTACATGATATAGTCGTCCGATTTTGATCAAATAAATTTTAAATTCAGAACAAATTAAAAAATTGTATTCCCAAGCTTAGGAGGTTATATGTTAAAAAAACACCAAAGATATAATTTTCTTAAATTTTTTTTTTCGATTATTCCTATGGGAGCTACAAGATATATGCTATGTTTATGCTATGGGAATCACGATTTCTTAAAAGCGCGATATAGAAATAACCCCTGTTTATGCGACACATATCATTTCGTGATTTGATTTCAGTAGAGATGCCAGACGTGAAAAATTAGATTTTAGTCTGGTCACACTTTCACAAAAAGTAATCAAACCAAACAACGCGATGGATAAACTTAAATTCTTAATTTACAATGGGAAAATAAGAACCGGAAATTTTATTTCCAAAGTTGCTGAGTGGAGGCACAGAAGATCGATGGCTTTATTAAAAGCGAGGCGGTTTTTGGTGGCCAGGAGTCACAGGATGCTGAAGCAGGTTTACCCGGCAGCAACCTCGACTCTCAGCCTGAGGACACCTAGAGTGCGAAGATTTAGGAGCAGGCCAAGAAGCAATTCATTTTGGTCACTTATGCAAGAGCCAAAAAATGAAAATTTGTTTTTGAGAACTTAAGGATGTCAAAGAGATCATTTTTCGAACTGTGCGAATTGATACGTCCCCACTTACCAGTGCAGAGCATGTTTCTAACCGTTCCAGTTCCCTTGGAGAAACAAGTTGCGATCTTCGTATATAAACTGGTGACTTGTGCCGAGTATCGAGTGATTGGGGATGTATTTGGAGTGCATAAAATTACTGTGCACAAGTAATTTCATATTGTGGTTAAAGCAATATTTAAACATACGAGTGAATTAATTTCATTCCCAAAACTAAGTGAATGCATTCAAAACGTGATTGGAGCTATTGACGGTAAAATGCCTTTTAGAGTATTAGTTACAAATTATAAACGCTATGTATCTGTTCCTGAACGGTTGCTGTCTTTAATAAACTCTCATATTTAGGCGCATAATGCCATCTCTATCTTATGTAACAGAAAATCGACATATATATATATATCTACTTTTTCGATTCTGGCAAAGCCGCTACGTCGGCGTCTTTTTGTGAAATTGAGATCAGTATCAAATAGGCTTCGCAACTGGCAAGAATAAAATTACATACAGTCCACACATCCAAGTCGTTTATATTTCTAACCAGTATTAATTATTTAGGAACACACATTCCTGTTAAAGCCCCAAAAATTGGGTACATGGATTTCGTCAATCGAAAGGGATGGACATCGATGGTCATGCAAGCTGTAGTTGACAACAATTACTTGTAAGTAAAAACATATTTAGATATTGGTTGTTTTTTCAAATATTATTTATTTTTAGGTTAAGAGACGTCAGCATGAAATTTCCAGGAAGTGTCCACGACGCGACGGTCTTCAAAGAATCTGGAATTTTCAAGAACCATAGACGAATTATTCCGGAATTTGTAAAACTGGTGGGCAACAAAGAGATTCGCTTCGTTATCCTGGGAGATTCTGCATACCCATTGCTACCGTGGCTTCTAAAACTATATACCGGACATCTAACTCTACAGGAAGAGTCGTTCAACTGCTACCTTAGTTCGGGCAGAATTGTAGTGGAAAATGCCTTTGGTCGATTAAAAGGACGCTGGAGGTGCCTGGCCAAAAGAATAGATATTGATTATAAATTTGTTCCATAAGTTGCTTTGGATTACGCGACACTTCATAACTTCGTGGAAATAAGAAAGGAGAAGTTTACGCCAATCAACGAGTCTGAAAGTAACCAGCAACCACCAGACTGGCGTTGTAACCAAGTACTGGAATCTCCTGAATGCGATTCATCTAACCTTAGGGAACACCTTAAGGAATACATTGTTTCTAACTTTCTTTTGCGAAGCAGTTCAAAATAAATGAAAATTGCACAATTACTTTTGTTTCGAAATATTTCATCTTTAATTGGAGTTAAAGAATTCTCGCATGAATCTTTGGGTTTCAGCCCGATCCGCCGCAAGAACATCGCGCATGCTCTGCACAAAGGTGGCGTCGATTTACCGTTGAGGCTCAAGGAACTCCTGGTTCTGCACCTCCAGCCTGTCCAACGCCTCCTTGTTGTCGTCTGACATCTTCTGAACCATCTGCACGACGTTTGCCTTGTCTAAAAATCAAATGAAATCATTAAAAATTACAGAAACTGTAAACTAGGTTGTTTCGCTTGGTCTTCCCATCGAGCTTGCTCAATATATTATTTTCCTTCACCAGGCCAAGCAGCTCGGTTATCTCGGCGTCTGACCAAAACGATCTCTTCGATTTTATGGCTATTTCAATAATTATTCCATTTTCTTTCTTAAATTTGCGTTTTAATTTCAACTTTTATGCACGGCGTTGCCACCTGATTTGTAGCGTTAAGTTGGTTGCGCATCACGAATTCACGCTTTGAGGCTGATATCATATACTATTACTGTGTTTATGCGATGCCGAATTCACGCTTTCATTTCGCGATTTCAGCCGATTCGTGTGTGCATAAACGCCATTTCGTGAATTCAGCAACAAAGGAAAGTTGACTATGAATTCAACCTGAAATCGTGAAATGGTCTCAATTAAACTCCGGTAACTCTATATAATTATCGGAGTTGCCAGATCGATATAAATACATAAATACACCTTTCTTTTAACAATTTATTTTTTAATTCAGTGCCAATGGAAACTAGTTTTTGTCTAAAACAAAAACAAAACTTTGTAGGTTTTGTTTATGTTTCAGATTGTATTATTTTATCTTAGTAGGCTTTGCGAAAATAGCTATCTTTTTATCGAGTTTAAAAAGACTTAACAGGGAGTCTGAGTCCCTGTCAAAGTTAGCTTTTACGTTGAGGCTCGAGAAAACCAAAATCGCTTAGCAAGGACTTTTTCAGTTCGAGAATCGGTAGCCGGCACTCGAGAAACCGGCCCTTAATCATATAGTGTAGTTCTCGATAAACATATGAGGTAGTAAAATTAAATTTAAATTAGTTTTTAGTTTTCTAAGAGTAGGAAAGCTCTGTACATACACTCATAAAATTATTTTTCTAAATACTAAAAAAACCTACTAAACATGAAATCGCCCTAACATTATGAAAATCGTTCTAAGTATAGGGAAAATCGCCATAGCAAACATGTTTTAGGGTTAATTTTTCGAAAATGCCAATTATTTCGTAGAACAAAAAATCATCTAAAATCGGCCTTGAAGATAGAAAATCGCTTTTAAATTTGAAAATCGGTGGCCTAGCAGTCTAATGCGATTAACTTTCAAACTCATCTAAATGGCGTGAGTTCGAGCCCACGAAGAGTCAACATTTTCTTTTCTTTTTTGTGCAAGTTTTTAGAATTGAATTCTTAAACAATTTTGTGTGCAAAGGCAAACAAAATTTAGAACACGTAAAAATAAAAACAAAAATATTGTATAGTACATTAAAATAATAGTTTTTTAATGCATTTAGTCTAATTGGGTCAAATAAAACATAATTTGTTGTCATTAGTGATATTTCTTAGAATTAAATTGAGAAATTGTTCTTAGCACAAATTGAGATATGAACCCTATTTGCGCGTCGCCTTGTGAGATGTTTCTGTGGTGCAGCGGTAGTGCTCTCAACTGCGAACACAGCGGTCGTGAGTTCGATTCTCGCAGCGATATGATATTTATATTATTTCCCCGATTCTGTTTAATAAATACTTTCAGTTTATATGACTCTAATTACCAACATGCATAGAGCGTCAAAATATAACCTTGCCTTCTCACCCTCTCAAATTATAGTAAAAAAAGGGCACTAAGTCAAATAATCCTAAAAAAATTCCTGGATTAAGTACCGCAGATAATGTTTGCCGAGAACCAGCAAACATGTCCAAACACGATTTTTATATACAAATTTGTTTTAATTTTGTGGGCACTTGCTCTTGTTTTTAAGGTGCTTTACCTTTAAAACAAAAAAAAACACCATACATTCAAGAAAAATTGCCTTCAATTTAAGGCAATTTACCATTAAAATAAGAAAGTTTCAAACGAAATAAATTTTCATGAAATATTTTCTTTTATATAGGGCTTCTTAACCCATTATCTTACATTTTTGCCGAATGGGAAAACATGATTATGGAAGGCTGCTCTTAGTTTCTGATTGTCTCTAATCTTATTGTCGAAACTAGACTATACATTGGCAACATGAGACGATTTTGGAAATAACCCGAGTGCAATATTTGACACGTGACAACTGCTCAAAAAACTTTAAAAAAATTCAGCAAAAGATAATACAGACTACGAAATAAGTAAGAACCAAAGACCATTAAATACCAAGATGCGTTACAAGTAAACAAATATACATAGGCGGCATCTAGACTCACGCGTGTAGAATCTACACTGGTGGAAAAAATAATAGGAACGGCTTACTCGCTTTCGTATTTTTTTTTTATTTCATAAAAAACAAAGTAGATATATCTCATATATATTTTTATTTAACCTTTACTTAAGTATGTTTTATAATAAGGAACAAAAAGATTTTTATAAATCATGTGTGGACTTAAAGAATTCATTTTCGGTTTTTTCCCTAGAAAAAATAATAGAAACAAAACGTTGAAACTTCATAAACATTATTTTTTAACCCATAATGGCTCCTAAACTAATATTTAGTAGTATTGCCTTTACATTGCAATACTGCAAGGCATCGGCGAGGACTAACTCCAGAAGATGAAAAGCATCCCCATAGCATTATGTTCCCTCTAAGGAATATGTCCTTTTTTATTGTTCGAGCCAAAATGTCGTCAAACCTTTTGGTTGTCTCGCTTTCTATCTCTGTTCTCCTTTTTATCGATGTAATGAACCGCGGAGAACACTTTTTCTTTGAGCAATTCATTAAATCAGCTATTTTAGTCATTGATTTGCCTTCATCACTCAGTTGCTTTATTATATGCCTTTCCGGAGCCGTGCAGTGCACTCCTCGACCCATTCTGAGCCTAGAAGTCGTAATTATAAACAGGATTTTAAACTAAACCTAAAAATTTGAAATAAAAAGAGTCTATGCCGAAGTTTTTGTTGAAATAAGTTGTTTCTATTTTTTTTCGAGGCCAAACATGTGTGCGCCCCTAAAAATTATGCACACAACACATAATAACGGTGAATGAGGCTCAAGGTGTAACACAAAATAAAGAACAGTTTTCAGTGCTCCACATGTTATTGGTTAGAAGCCCAGAACTTTCGTACTTAGCTATTTAATAAGAAGTGCAGAAGTGAAAATTGTTTCCTTTATTTTTTCCACCAGTGTATTTTTATAATGCAGTTTCTTTGCTTCTTTCTCTTTCTACACTGGCTCTCTCGCTCCCGGTACTCCGAGCTGCCAAAAAGTCAAAACTCAATTTTTTTTTCGTTTTTCGATTCTTTTCGCGTTGCTCATATTGCGCCTACTAATTCTAAACAAGCTGTGGCGTACTACGTTCGAATCCGCTCTGAGGAGTGCAGATATTTTATATTTGTTGCAGAGGGTACAATGATTTCAGTCAGAAGTTTGCAACGCAATGAAGGAGGCAATGCTACAATGCTACCAGGGCAACGACCTGCAAGGGTATAGAAACGTCGACTTGCCGAAGCTAGCTTATTCCTTGGTTGAAGATGTGTTTTATGTTGCTGTGTTGTTTACTTTCAGTTTAGTTTTATTTTTACGGCAATAAATCTAAAAGTTGACAGAAAGGGAAAAATCAAAGATAGAGAATTGGGATCTCAGATTTAGATTCCGTAGCCTTGCACGCCCACTCTAACACCCACAAACCGCCCAAACCTGTGACGCCCACACTTTTCATCCTAGATAAAAAATTTTATCTGAAATGTATTGGTCTTGTCAATACCTTTCGATTGATCCAAAAAAAAATTTGACACGCTCACTCGGGCGTTAGAGTGAGCGTGTCAAATTTTTTTTAACGCTTAACGCTTAAATCTGTCAACCGCCGGTAGGTGGCGCATTTTAATCTCGCTTTTCTGCTTGCATATCTCCATTTCCATTTGGTCCCCTTAGCTAAGTAACGGGTATCTGATAGTCGAGGTACTGGACTATAGCGTTCTTCCTTGCTTATATTATCTTTGGTAAAACTAAGGAATGCCAGCGATAAAGCAAAACCCCGTTTAACCTTCTTTGACAAGATATACATATAGTAGGCCCCGTTTTATTTGATTCGACACATACTATCAGTCTCCTAATTCTAAATTACTAGATTGAAAGGGATGACAATATAATGCTTACAGTTAGCGTGGGCTAGGTTTCCCGCTTATTCTATCGTGCAGTGGGTGTCGTAAGAATATATTTTACCACATGTAGAACAGTGGGCATTGCAGGTATGTATGTGTCCTACTACAACATAAGGAAATTTGTTCTTGTTTGAGGGGGCGATTCTAGTACAGAAATGAAGCTACTTTTTTTCATCTTTTTTATTTACGTTATGTGAGTAAATTACTAGATTCTCGGAAAGTATGTACAGCGAAGGAAGCGTTTCCGACCCATAAGTATATATATTCTTGATCAGATCACTAGCGAGTCGATCTAGCTGTCGTCTGTCGTCTGTCGTCTGTCGTCTGTCTGTCGGTGAACGCTGAGATCTCGAACTATGAGAGCTAGGCTATTGAGATTTGGCGTACAGATTCCTGAGCTTCTTACGCAGCGCAAGTTTGTTTCAGTAGACTGCCACGCCCACTCTAACGCCCACAAACCGCCCAAAACTGTACCTCCTACAGTTTTGATGCTAGATAGAAAATTTTAACTGAAATGTATTGTTCTCATCAATACCTATCGATTGACCTAAAAAAAAGTTTGCCACGCCCACTTAAACGCCCACAAACCGCGAAAACCTGTGACGCCCACAATTTGCATGCTAGATAAAAAATTTTAACTGAAATGTATTGGTGTCGTCAATACCTATCGATTGAT